GAAGAAGTTTATTGGCTGACTATCAACAAGTCAGACCAAAGTCAAGACAACCAAGAGGTGGACGAAATTCTTAAAGCATATGAGGATGTATTTCAAGAACCCAAGGGACTACCACCTAACAGGGATGTGGAGCATCAAATTATACTCAAGCCAGATAGCTTACCCAAAAACCAGTTCCCCTACAAGTCTTCACATAGCCAAAAAGGGAAATTGAGAAAATCGTTAAGGAAATGATGGAATCTGGGATATATCAAGAAAGTAAAAGTCCTTTTGCTTCTCCAGTAATTTTAGTAAAGAAAAAGGATGAAACCTGGAGACTATGTGTTGATTATAGATATCTTAATGGCCTAACTGTGAAGCATGATTACCCTATTCCAATTATTGATGAATTACTGGATGAATTACAGGGGGCTAAATATTTTTCTAAGATTGACCTCAGATCTGGCTATTTCCAGATCCTCATGAACAAGGATCACAGGTATTTGACTGCATTCAGGACCCACAATGGCCACTATGATTTCCTAGTAATGCCTTTTGGGCTATGCAATGCCCCAGCTACCTTTCAGTCTTTGATGAATAGAATATTCAGGGGTTTACTGAGGAAAACAGTCCTGGTTTTCTTCGATGATATATTGATATACAGCAAGAGTTGGGAGGAACATTTGAAGCATCTAGAGCAGGTGCTGGCTATACTCAGGGAACACCAGCTCTTTGCCATGAAAAGCAAATGCCAATTTGGAAAGGAACAGGTGGAATACTTGGGCCACATTATTTCCTTCCAAGGGGTTGCCACTGATCCAAAGAAGATTGAAGGAATGGTGACTTGGCCCACTCCCACTAATGTCAAACAGTTAAGAGGGTTCTTTGGTTTGACAGGCTATTACAGAAAATTCATTAACGGATATGGATTAATGAGTAGAGCCCTGACTGATCTCCTCAGGAAATACCAGTTCAAATGGAATGAAGAGGCTGAAAAGGCTTTCCAAGAATTGAAGGTTGCTATGGTAAAGGCTCCTGTTTTAGCCTTACCAAATTACAACCTCCCATTTATCCTTGAGACTGATGCTAGTGGAAAGGGTGTGGGAGTAGTGCTCATGCAACAAGGCAGACCTATAGCTTATATGAGCAAAACGTTGTGTCCAAAGAATCAGGCTTTGTCAATTTATGAAAGAGAATTCCTAACTGTACTTATGGTTGTACAAAGGTGGAGGTATTATTTACAAGGGCACAAATTCTTCATTAAGACAGGTCAACAAGCATTAAAACATCTTTTGGATCAAAAGGTTATGTCCCCAATTCAGCAGAAGTGGATAACTAAACTATTGGGTTTAGACTATGAGATTTTATATAAGAAAGGTGTTGAGAACAAAGCTGCTGATGCACTTTCTAGGAGGGGTGAAGGGGACAACACATGCATGGCCATAACTGGTGTGACCCCACTTTGGGTTCAAGAGGTGCAGAAGAGCTATGAACAGGATCCATTCTTTTCAAAGATCCTCACAGCCAATACTATAAAGGCAGATTCTTAACCTGATTTCCAGATACAGAGTGGCATTATCAGGTACAAAGGAAGGGTTGGCATTGGCAACAATGAGGAATTGAGGGATAAAATCCTATCAACCGTGCAAAACTCAGCCTATGGGGGTCACTCAGGGATTTTTGGCACTTACATGAGATTGAAGGGGGCTTTCTATTGGCCTAGCATGAAAAATGATGTTACTAAAATGGTGCAAGCTTGTGACATTTGCAAAATGACCAAGTCTGATCACAGTGCCTATTCAGGACTCCTACAACCTCTACCTATTCCCAGTCAAGCTTGGACTCATATTGCCATGGATTTCATAGAGGGTCTACCCAAATCAGGGGGAAAAGATGTTATCTTAGTGGTAATAGACAGATTTACCAAGTATGCTCACTTTATACCTCTAGCTCACCCATTTACTGCCCCTACAATTGCTAAGATTTTTCTTGATATCATTTACAAGTTACATGGGTTGCCAGTTAGCATTGTTTCAGACAGAGATAAAATTTTCACAAGTTCATTCTGGAAGGAGTTATTTAAGTTGGCAGGGGTTCAATTGAATCTCTCATCTGCCTATCACCCCCAAACGGATGGGCAAACTAAGAGACTCAACCAGTGCCTGGAAAATTACTTGAGGAGTATGGTGCATACTAACCCAAGACAATAGATTAAGTGGCTATCATTGGCTGAACACTGGTACAACACCAACTACCACTCCAGCCTCAAGACCACCCCTTTTCAAGCTTTGTATGGCTACCCACCCCCAAATTTCACTATGGGTCCCTACTTGGATACTACTAACACACATGTAAAGGAGGTTTTGCAACACAGACAAAAGATGGTACAACAGTTCAAACAAAATCTCATTCAGGCACAAGCAAGGATGAAGTTATTTGCAGATAAGAAAAGGGATGACAAACAATTCCAGGTGGGGGAGCAAGTGTTTTTGAAGTTGCAACCATTCCGGAAAACTTCGGTAGCACTGAGAAAGAATGTTAAATTGGTCGCAAGATACTATGGCCCTTTTGTCATATTAGAGAAGGTTGGGGAGGTTGCTTACCATTTAGATCTACCTGAGGGTTCACGCATCCACCCTGTTTTCCATGTATCCCTTTTGAAATGACGCGTCCAGCCCCAGCAAGAGATCTCCACACAGTTGCCTGAAAACAGTGAAGAAGGAACCCTAAAAATTGAGCCTTTGAATATCATTGATAAACGTAAAATTGAAAGACAGGGAACCGAGTTTACGCAGCTTTTGATTGAGTGGATTCCACCCCCGGCAGCTCTGTCGACCTGGGAAGATGCATCCTTCATGAATCGCAACTTTAAAACAATTGATCCTTGTGGACAAGGATCTCAAATTGAAGGGGGTATTGTTATGAACAAGGGTTATAAAGAGGAGAAAAGGTCGGACAAGGGGCTAATTAAGGTGAAAGCTGCGACCTTGCAGGTGGAAGGAAAGATTCAATGGTCGGTGAAGATGAGGAAGTGGGAATCGTCGGCAATGAGGAGCAGAAGATCGGGAAAGTGATAAATGAGGATTTGGGTATCTAGCCATGTGGGCTGTATGTTTCTTATTGGGCTTTTGTTGTTTTGCATTTAAATATGTAATAGGATATTATTAGTTATTTGGGCTTAGTTGTTAATTGTCCCAAATATATTATGGGACCCGCAATGTTTGTTACTTAAGGGAATTTGCAGAAATGAAAAAGACACGTTTTGAGCATCTCTCAGTTATTCCTCCTCCAATTCTTTACTCTCTCTCTCTCTTTCTCACTCTATCTGTATCTATCTCCCTCTCCAAGTTTCTCAATCTAATTAATTACAGAAAATACCAAAAATATATAAAATTCAAAAGGATTACAAGCAGATTGTAACAGAAAGCTGACTGAGCCAAGCACCCTGTCCTGAAACTGCAGAAAACGCCTAACAAGATTCGGTACTCCCGCCCTGTAACCTCTCCCCAGGTAAACACTTACGAACCAGACAACGGAGGTTAGTCCCAGACACACACCACCCCCTAACCAGGAGCACAAGGACTACTGACCCCAGATCAAACCGGCACTATTGCCTCAGCCCCAGAACACCCAATCCCCCTCCACACCACCGACGCCCTGCCTCGGGTAACACCACTAGCCGTCGGACAGAAGCACCGTCCCTCCCCTTGACCCAACACCAGGGCACAGAGGGGGATTGGAAGGGAAGACAGTGCCACAACTCTGGCAGCTATCACGAAAACGCCGAAAACCACCCAAGCCATTCTTCGTCCATAGTACCACACCCCAACCAAATTCACGGCAAACCCACGAAGCTGACGACTAGAAACCCCAAACGAAACAAGAAAGGCGATACTCGGTTAAGGGAGTCGTCCGCCTACACTGGTGCTAAGGACATGGAGGCGCAACCACAAGGCACAGCCCGAAGCAACTAAGAGCTGACAAATTTGACTGTAACAATCGGGCCGCCACCGGCAACAGACGACCACTACCAGCAAGGCCAAACCAACGAGTAACAACAAGCTAGAAAAAAGAGGGTTGAGGCAAAAGAAACTCACCTCTATTTCGACATCTGACCGGCTGAAATCAGAATATGCCGCCCAGCCCCGCCGTCGTGAGTCGGAAACCAAGCACCCACCAGGACCCACCGAAGCAGCACAGCTTGGCAAGCCCTAATTCGGCCGCTGGAATCCAAACACAACGAGGGTCGGGGGACTTGACCTGCAGTGACCGCGGCGCGGCCGAGCGAAACTCTCCGCTGGAAAGAGGTGTAACGCCCCACTTTTGATTTTAAAGAAATTTCACACTTTCAGAAAAATCAATAGAATTTTCAAAATTCAATTTAAAACATTGGCGGCATTATTCATTTAAAACTCAAATCAATATCACATATAATAATCATCACCATGACATTAATCATAAATCAATACCCTAACCAGGGTTTCATTCAACATCAACCATTACCCAAACTGGGTTTTCCAAATTTTATCATAGAGTCAAAGGGGCATCTCCCCAGAATTATTTCAAATCATCAAGGTTCATAAATTCTAAGTTCATAAAATCATGAATAAGTTCATATAGCGGAAGCAACTAATAATGGTCTGGTCATATAGACCGACCACCACTCGTTCCACTCCGCCGTGCCCGTACTGACTTAACCTACAACCGTGAGGAAACAGGTGGGGGTGAGCACAATTGGAAACTGTGGTGCTCACCACTATGCACATAAATAATAATATAAAATAACAAGAAGTATGGTCACAACATGATCATTAATAAATTCAACATGTCACATCTCCAATCAATACACCAATAACCTCACTTATGTGCACATCTATCATTAGCCTGATGGTCGACCACTATATTTTTCCAGTCCTTCTGGTCCATTGTAGGTCAAGGTATTTGCTCTTGAACAAATTCTGAAAAGTTTAAACACTCTTTGATAACTTTGATTCCTAAGTGTCCAAACCATTCTCATGTGGCCCACTTTAGACCAACTAGTCTGTACAAAGTGATCACTAAAATCCTGACAAATATATTGAAGCCTTGTCTCCTTTATTATATTAGTGTATGAGGTTATTCACTTCCTGAAATGTCATAGAACTTGGAAAATTTGTTTTATATCCATCAAATTGGATATGTGTAAGGCTTTTGATAAAGTAGTGAGATAGTGCGACTAATTATGTTGAAATTGGGTTTAACTCCTTGTTTATGTTGTGGATTATGCATTGCATTAATTATTCCTCTTTTTCTGTAAATGTGAATGATGAAGCAATTGGGTAATTGAAACCATCTAGAGGGATAAGGCATGGTGATCCTCTATCACCTTACCTTTTTATTTTGATTTCTGAGGTCCTTTCCCATTTGATTAAGTCTGAGGTGACAAGAGGTAATCTGCAAGGAATCAAAATGAGTAAACATTGCCCTATCTTAACACATCTATTTTTTGCAGATGATACCCTCTTATTTGCTAAATCATATACCCAGCAAGCCTGCGCATTACTAAAAATCCTCCATAACTATAAAATTCTGACTGGGCAAAAAGTTAATCTTGAAAAGTCATCAATTGTTTTCAGCAAAAATGCGCCCCAAATTCTCAAAGATCAGATTTGTGGCATACATTTAGGTATTACCCCTCAGTCAGCCTCAAAGTACCTTGGCCTGCCCCTTGGCGTACGAAATTCCAAAAATGCAACCTTTTCTTTTGTAAGAAGGCTGTGAAAAAAAAAAAACTTGAGCTCGAAGAATAGATATCTCTCTCTTGCAGGTAAAAAGTACTTCTTAAGGTTGTGATTGGAGCCTTACCAAATTACACAATGCCATTCCTTTTGCCTCAATATGTCACAAAGAAGATTCCTTAGACATGGCAAACTTCTGGTGGAACAACAACTTGGATGGCTCAAAGGGGATTCATTGGAAATGCTGGAAGCAAATAACTTTACCATCTATGATGGGTGGCATAGGATTCCATGATATGCATATCTTAACAAGACACTGATCTTAAAGCAGTTGTGGAGAGTCTTATCTCATCCCCATGTTCTAAAAATCAAATTGTGAAAGGGATGTACTTTTCTAATGGTTGTTTCATTTCAACTAAGAAAAAACAAAACTGCTCCTGGTTTTGGGCTAGTTGGTGGAAATTAAAAGAGTTATTCCTAGGGGGCTTAAGGTGGAAAATAGGGGATGATAGCTCAATCAGATTATGGTAGCAGCCATGGGTTCCAAGCCTAGCAGTAAAGAAACTCATGGTAAGCATCACAGAAACACTGAGCTCATGTGGGTTGAAGAACTTATTGATGTGACTGTTAGATGTTGGAATAAAAGCCTTGTGGAGAAACGGTTTCTTTATGAGGAGACTGATGTTATACTATGTATAACGGGTCTAGATCCAAATAAGTATATACGCTAACTTGGATTTGAAACTCAAAAGGGAATTTTACAGTACCCTCAACCTACTTAAAGCTTCTTGAAGATAGCTGCAGGAAGATGGACATTGCTGGGTAGTGTTAATCATGGTGTGTTGAAGAATGCAAGGAAGAGTACTTGGAGCTTAAATGTTAAAGGGAAAATTAGGCACTTCCTCTGGAAAGGCTTAAATAACATTCTTACGATTCTAGTCAACCTAAATTCTAGAGGTTCAAGTTTGGACCAGAGGTGCATGTTCTGTGGAGATTTTGTCCCTTGCAGCAGGGCTCAGTTGATCTGGAAGCTAGCCCCGGTCTCTTGGGTTGGTCTCATGGTAGAAACTGGTAGCTTCAAGCATTGGTGGCTAAAGCTTTGCACTATCGGCAGTAATTCAATTTATGAATACAGGGTTCAACTCACATGCTACCTGCTTTGGTGGATATGGAAGACTCATAACCTTTGGGTGTTCCAGCAAGTTCTAATCAGAAGTAGATATGGTGAAGCTGGCTCTTGGTGATTGAAGGGAGTTTTCTCTCTGTCCTGCCTAGTTCTTAGTTGGTTTAGTTTTTCGTGTAGTTTGTTTGGTCTGTACTAGTTTGTCTTGTTGTTTTTTGTTGTTTGGTTCAGGCTGCTTGTGCTTAGGTTTTTTATAGCTTGCTAGGTCCCGTTGCGGGCAAGTTACTTTTGTTTGCTAGCTTAGTCCCTTGTCCGGGGTTCTTGGTTTGGCCAGAGATAGGTTGGGGCACACGGGTACTTAGCTTTAGCTTTTGCCATGAGACTGCCTCTATCTCTTCTTGTTAGTAAAAGAGTTGGTGCTTCTTCTGGTTAGCATGGTTACTTGTATTGGCTTTTGGTCGTCACACTGTTCTCTTCGAGTTATAAATTTTGTCGTTTCAAAGAAAAAATGAATCCACAAGTTTGTCATAATGGTATCGTCTAATTGTAAAATATTCAACATTTGTTCCTGCAAGCAATGTGAGAATAAAAAAAAAAAAAAAAATCATTCACTATAAACTACAAAACAATTATAATACTATCATAAATTATAATATACTGCTAACATCTGATACAAAAAGGTAATATTTTTTATACTTTATTATAACAATCTTCATATGTGATGACACAACACTCGCGGAAAATTAAATGACACAAATCCACTATCTTACACTCAAAGCATATATTGCTAATTAAGAAAGAGTATCATCAGATAATGTATGTATTAACATATTCAACAAAAACCAAAACTTACCATATGACAGACCATTTGCATCGAATGCTTCGCTTTTCTCACGAATTTTATAACCCCATTACTAACACTTTGACGAAAATACAGCTCTCCAATTAGTTCATTTATCAGGTTTGTTCTTCTTTTTCCTCCCAGATTCTAGAAGTGGGTGCATTCTAGGTTTTCTTTCTTTCAATTTGAAAATGCCTCATTTAATAAGTTGATAATTGGCATTAGGGAAGCACAAGACATTTGAAAAGACCAAAAAGACCATAAGATTGGCTACCGATGACCGAAAATGGCTAAGACGCAACATTTGTGAAGTTTAATGTGTTAAGTGGCACAAAAACAGCAACATTTGTGGAGTTTAATGTGTTAAGTGGCACAAAAACAAATTTGATTGGTAAAGTGTAAAAACGCATAGTTAATTAGACTAAGTATATTTTTCCATTGAAAAAAAAAAAAAAAAAAAACCTTCATAAATATATGATTAAAATGAATTTGTAGGTAAACAATGTAAATTTTAAACCGAATTTGTACTTAACTAAACCTTAATTTTCACAATTTTTGACAAATATGTAACCATCGGAGACAATATCCCAAAGCGGTCCATACAATTGTTCCATCTAGGCCCACCAAATCCTTAGGTAAAAGAATGAACTAAAGAAGGTGATGTCACTAATCCTCACATTGCGAAGCTCATATGCATTTCCTTACAGTCCTATCAAATTCCAAAGTTCATCCCTATTCATATTCCTATTCCTCCAGGCAAAATAAAACAATAAAGGAGAGACAAATTCACTAATGCTCATGGGAGAAACATAATAACAACAACAATACAAAACTATAACATTGAAAAGAATATTCATCCATAGCAATAAAGTTATCCAAACACAACCTTCAATCTTCAGACTGTCATTATCATCTAGCTGCTAGAAATAATTGCCCGCATTCATCGTCAATCAACGAACAATTCAGATTCAAAAGATTTCACCATTCATCCTTCCAAACTATTAAACCATTACGGAAAGATTAATTTAGAAGACTTTAAGAGACAACGAAAAAACTCAAAATTGCCTGAACACACTTTTACTTGCGAACACCAACATACTTTCGGGGAAAACACAACCATCCCAACAGATCATCTCTGTCAAACCTGCGAACAGCATCCAGGGATCTTAGAGGAATTTCTTGTCTTTCAAGGGCCCTCTTGGAATTTTACTTAAGACCTTAACATTTAACACTGCATACTGTTTCTTCAGCTCCGCCTCAGCTTTCTCAGCAAAAGCATCAATTTGGTCCTCGTATTTCTCATAAATCAAAGGCACGGAGAGCAACAAAACAAAGCCTGGTTTGTGGAGGGTAGAGATAGAGCACAGAATATACTCATTTAGGAAGTGAAAATCATTCCCGATAATCCTAAGGGTTAATTAAGAGAAATACCCGCTGATGTCTGTTTGTATTCAATGGATCTACAAAACTATAGAAAGCAAGTACGATTCGAAAATATTTTTTTAAATTGCCAAATACCCTCTGAAGATTGTTTGTATTCTTCAGATTGCATCTTATACAGGAATGGAAAGTTGTTAAGAATGCACAAATTTCATGGGTGCTAACAAGTACCTTAAATAAATGGGGCTTCTGTGAAATACGCAATTATTTTTGTAATTGTCACTCATATTTAAAATCACGAAAAGTACAGGGAGGACGGATATGCAGATTACTTACAAATGTAGAATAGGGTCAAGAAGTTGAAGCAACTTCCGAAGACAGAAAGAACCCATAAGCCAGCAATCACCTAAAATCCACAATAAATATTTTCATCATCTCTAAATTCGCCCTCGATGAAACCAACATACCCTCATATTCAATATAAACTATCTTATAAAAAATCCACTGGTGTAGCTAAGTATCAAAACAAAAGAGAAACTAGAGAGACAGAGTAGACTATTGTCTAGGTGTAAAGTATAAGATAATTTAGAAAGCTGAAGTGATTGCATAAACCAACAATCGAAAACCATACCGCAAGAAATTTCTTTAGATCTCTCCCTGATGCAATATCTCGAAGGGTGGCAAGAGCTCGATTGATTTCAATCCTAATAGAAGAAGCTATAGCCAGAACAATATCCTCAGGAATAACAACATTTGGGATCTTAGGTGGAGACCTGGGAAACATAAATGACATCAACATTCGTGTATAAAACATACAAGTGCAGATATGACTTACTAGTCAATAGGCAGACATACTTGTTGATAAAAGTTGAGGCATTTGACCAGAGAAAAAGGATCGCCAGGCCAAGGATTAGGAGATGGCACACAAGTGTGAGTAAGTGGTACTCGAGCAACTCAAAGAGAACCCAGTTAGCGGTGGCAACACCAAGCACAGCAGCAGAAACTTTCTTGTCCCTCCAGAGGAAAATATCAGCAGCTGCCAGAAAATTCTTCATCATGAGACATCCATCATTGGAATAGAAATAGAAAAGGATTAATTTATGATCTATACGGTTCTACTATCTTATTGATGGACAATAACACAAAGTGGAATCCACTTTCTTTAATAATAATAAATTGAACAAACACATATAGCACAAAATTCTGCAGCAGTTCATATTTTTAGATAATTGGAAAAATAAATGATACATAGCGAAGAGTGCTGTCCAACGAACAAAAGATGATAGCAATTCTATTCCGACTCTCGAAATTTCACTTCACTTAGAAGAAATGCTCTATGTAATCTCATCAGCTTTTTCTATTTACATCCCCTGAAATACCATCAAGAGTAATATACAGATATGCATTTCCGAATCAAACGCATTAATCGTTACGATTGAAAAACCCCGAACAAATTGCATTTGAATATGACATTAATTAACAGCAAATGGGGGCATTAACAAAGAAAACAAATTCTTAAAGTTTCCCGGATACCAAGATCAAATGGTTCCATCAATTATAGAAACACACATCTAACCACATCAAACACATATAACACACACATCATATCTCCCAGGATGAATAAAAAATAATCTAACCATGCTAGAATGACGTATATTTTCGAGAGAAAACAAGATCAGTTGGCTTCTGTAAACATAGATTGAGCAAATCAAACAGAAATACAATTCATACACACTTATATACGAATTATTAAAATAAATTAAAAAGATAGTTCCAAAATAGGATGTCGTACGTTTTCCACCGCCTAGAACCTTGTGTACAGGCTTTTCACGGCCAAAGAGGCGGTAGATCTTGGCCTTCACAGCAGCGGCAGCCGATTTGATGTCGTCGTCGTCGTCGTCGTCGGAATCCGACGAGGAAGAATCAGAGCCATGAAATTTATCTGTGATCTTATCGATCAGAGATTCAGCGATAGATTCGTTCTTCTCGTGCTCAACGGCTTGATCGGCCATCTTTATTCCAATTCACGATCTAGATCGCCGCTGGTGATGACCTTTCGTTGAAACTTCTATTCAGCGATTTCTCCTCCGATATTTTGGCTTCTGCGTTCTCAGTAGAAAAATGTTGGGGATGGAGAGAGGCTCGGAGTGACGGCCGTTAGATGACGTTATGTTCGAGTTATATTTGGCAATATATACACAATCAAGACTATATTCAATTAATTAATTTTCTTGCCCCTCTTCTCTCTCCTTGAGAAAGATCCCAAAATCTCCTTGGCCTAATATTCACGACCGGTACGCCTTCTCCGGCGGGACGCCGGTTGTTTCGACGGTGATTGACCCTTGACTGCGCGACCCTTTCTCGGTGGTGCCGATTGTTCGTCTGCTCGAGCGAGCGGGGTGGG